GTATAAGCAAACTCAAAAGTTTACATATAAACGTACACACCAAAATTTTACTGGAATGACAAGCACAGACTATAAAATTATGCATAATCGGCAAAGCACCCACCGTACGACAGAAGTATATACGTCGCAGAAAAGACCTTTCTGTCAATCTCAAAACGCACAAAAAAAAAGTAAAGACGCGCATAATTATAAACCCGCGAACAAGATCCACGAGCATCCTTCGAATCATGGGGACGTTTCATGCTCGGTGGCAAAAGAAAAAGTTTGTTATGCACAAGTATCCAGTGAAAGGCAGTGTGCATATTCTAGAAGGTTTCGAGTATTCCGAATTAGCTCTTGTAACTTTACCTCGTATAAGAATTTGCTTACTATTACCAAGACAGTTTTTTACCAATTGCTTGCGGACAAACTATCTCGCAACTTTTTATTGCGGCTTATGACGGAACAGTTGGAATTAAAAGTACTAGAATTGGCATGGAAAGTGGGTTTCAAGCAGCATTGGCTCACTGGCGCTGGGATCGAATGATTAATGCTAACGTTCGTTCTGTGACCGTGACGTTGATGAAAAAATTTTTTATCATGGATAATCGCATTTTCTGCAGGAGAATCCAATAATTACACCCACTACTTTCTAAACTCCATCATTGAAAGGCGTGCTTGGCGGATGTTGAAAATTCTTGTAATGTTGTTAAATCACAATATGCGCATTATTACGATCGTTAGTGAAATCAATAAACCTACCGTCTACAATTATTAAAATACACTCATTTACTAGGGCTGAGAGCGAGTATAAGAAATTCCTTAAATACACGCGACCAAATTTCTTTTGTGTGTCGTTGTTGCTAAACAAAAGTTCTATTGTTAATAAGCCGGATAAGTCATTTCTGGAGAGCGCCCAGCAAAGAAGTAGACCTGTGGCAGTCCTAACCTAATTGAGTATCGATGTAAACAAGGCTAATTCATAGCTGCAAAATCTAAGCTATTTTTATTGATGCTGTTATAATGCCATAATAATAACTGTATTACCGTATTATTATAATCACGTGTTTAATTCAGGACATTCTGTTACACTATATTATGTTTTGAGATACGCCAGCGCATTAACTGTTAATGGAAATTCTATTCGAACGATCATAAATTAACTTCCTACCAAACGCTGTCAAAATATTTTGCATAACGAAGAAGTTATCTCGAACATTTGCAACTATCTATACGCTATTCCACAAACATTATTCATTTCCTTCCTCACTTTTTGCGTCATTGTCATATTGTTGATTAGTCGTTATGGATTAATGCCTCTATGATGTCAACGAATGCTAACGAAGACTGGGAGAGAATAAAAGATCTGTTGGAGTATGTTAGAATTTGGTCATGTGTATGCTAAGCGTAGAGGATCTCAATCGAGGTCCCTCTATACGTTCAGCGGACGCTAGAGGTGCATCTATTAATGATACTTCAAATTACGGCTTATGATTTTACAGTGAAGCATCTGATCTTGAAAAGGAATTGAAAAAGCAAGACTACCAAAGACGTCAACTCAAGAATGTCAGTGAGATTGAGCAAGAGACTGAGTTTATACGTAACTGGTGAGCTTATTAATTGAGAGAAATTACTAATATTTAAACCAGTTTGACAACCTATCGTAATGAGATTATTCTTTTGATAATGGTTGTGCATTAAATTTTGCCGAACTCATTAAAGCCTAAAGGATGTCTACGAAGACATAATACTATCCGATTTACAAAATGCCATTGAACATGGAATCGAAGAGCGATTATGGCGACACGTGTTCTATAGCTACATCGAAGAATTGCGCATTCGATTGAGAAAGGTAGGATCTAAGGAAGAATAAACTAAACTGTGAGCAATTCTCGATTTACTCCGACCTTTATTGTAATTCTTTCAGAATAAGCAGCCACAAAGCCACGAATACCAAATGGCTTATTTGGAACTGAATAGATACTTAGACATGGGAACGGGTTTTTATCATACGCTGGTCAATACTATTAAGATAAACGAGGGAATAAGTCTCGACACTATTGGAATTGGTTTGTAGAATTCTCAATATTTATTAAAAATTCGTTTGAAATATGTTTTACTTTAAACCACTCAAGCTGTCTACGTACAAACGTTTTTCCATATCAAAGACCTTTTACTCTCCACATTCGCCTCTTCTACGTCCCCAACCTCGTCCAGTCCGTCTCACAAACGTTTATCCCCTAAAACTCGTACCGGATATTCCTCACGCAAGCAACTTGCCGCGGAATGTATACAACGGTGTTTGATCTATTTAGGAGATCTCGCGAGATATAGAGAGTGTATAGCTGATGTAGAGGGAAACAAGAAATGGGAATTTGCAAAGAGGTTTTATTTAACGGCTGCTAGGGTGTTTCTCACTAATGGTAAGCCCATTAAGAATATACGAAAGGGGATGCTGCTATCGAATTTGATATGATACCGTCTGTTTTAAGTCAGTACGTATCTTAGCAGATTGCGATGACATTAATAGTTACTTTCATAGGAAAGGCTCAAGGTCAACTTGCTGTTCTGGCTGCGTATTCCGAAAACAATCTCGATATTGTCTATTGGGATACTTTTAGGTAATTTGTGAGAATCTATGTGTTATTTATCTCTTCTAGTAACCTGCTTATTATAAAGTCTTTATGCTCTAGTCTTGCAACGAAACAACCATCTTTAATCGCCGAAGACAATCTAAAGAACTTCTACACACAGTTTGCGATACGCTCGCCCGAGATGGTGTTGAGTGATTCCGAGACGTAAGTGACAAGTAGCAAAACACGTAGTTGATTTTATTTGGCATGAATTCTTGGGATATATGCTTGAGAACTAGATACTGTTGATACATTAGTCATGCTTTACTTGTGAACTAAATTTGTAGAACGGAGGGTAATAACATTAAGCTTATATGGCAATTTTTATCAGTTCACCTATGCCTGTTTAATCAAGATGCTTCAAGGTAAGATTAGTTGCTTTGTGCTTTTCACGCCTATCTCATTTGCGTTATTAAACTAAACAATCCCAATATTAATCGACCTCAACAACTTGATTAGTCTTTCCAAGTGCTTAAATGAGCTCCTAGAGACGATAGAAACATCTATCCTTTCCCCCTCAACGGTCACGAAATTAGTATTTATCATTATTTATACAATCTGGGATTTTCGTCGTCAGAGTCTGCGCAGTAACAGTGCAAAACGGTCAAGTAGAGAGAGCAAGTACCTCACCAGTCCGACAAATAGAGAGGGTAGATATGTCACTAAACCGACAAGTAAAGAAGGTAACAGCGCTAGCAGTACTAGCGCTAATGCTAGTAATACGGATGGACATATAAGAACATTACAGCAAGCTGCTTTCGCTGTTGGATTCGCATTATGTTTGCGAGCAGTTGAAAATCTAGATACAAAAGGCTTAAGAGGCAGCATTATATGGTATGATTATATTCAAAGTATAATGGAGGGATTAGTGCAGTCGTACGCGCATGTGAAAGCAGAAAGAGAAAAAGGGTCCACTGAAGATGACGTCGCGCAGATGTTTATTACGGTACGTTGAGGGACCACCAGCATAAAAGTGGGTCACTGAATTGTTTTGGCTCATTTGTCATGATTTTAACATAATTCTCTCCCAAAACGCCAATACTACTTGACATAAGACGGTTACCAGTTTTCTTAAGTCTCTGGCAACATTCCTGGCTCGCCCTTTACTTTCTTCAACTTCTCAATCTCCCCTACCACCCCTGTCTTCACGCGACTCGAAAACATTACTCACAAAGCGTCCGATTACCGAAGATATTGAATTTCTTGGAACCGTTCCATTACGATCTGTTCATGAAGGGCTGGATTGGAGTGTGTATCTGGGAACATATAATGGAGAAGAATCTAAAAGCGAAGAAGAGGATGAAGTGAGAATCGCAAGAGTGCTCGGGTTCGCCAGACGAGTCGCTGAGATTAAGGTTAGATAAATTGCATGAAAATTTGGAGAGGATCTGACTCATATATAGTTTCTGACAGCTCTCGATATTTTTATCATTCATTAGACATTCGAAATCTTTACTTACAATGAGCAAACGGGAATGTTTATTTTCCTAGACGAAGAGACAAAGGTAGACAGTCTTCACATCATTATCAACAAATATGACCGTTCATATAATTAAGATTCGAACGTATCGTCTTTCGTCTCTAAACTCAGAAAAGAGAACGCCAGCGCTTAATGAAAATTATGGCCGAACAAAGACTCAGAGAACAAGTCACATCGCTTGAAGCTGGTCTCACAAAACTCGGGATTCAACCGGCATCACCTCATAACGGTGTCGTGACATATACAAAGAAGACGTGTCTTGTCGATGTTGGAGTATTGATTGGTCGTTTAACGACAGTGAAGAAGTGGATAGCAAATGACCGTATCGAAGTTATTGTTCCACTAGATGGTAGGGAGCGAAGTCGTATTGTTAAATGCGGGAGGTCCTTTATGTCAAGTGTGCGTCGTTCTCATTCTTATAACTAACCAACTTGCCTTATTGCATCTGTTCATTTTTCAGCCATTGATGTATTAGATGTACTAAAAAAAGGGAGTGACGCGAAAAACGTTCACGCTCGCGATGCAATTCGATATCTTGATACCCAGCTTCAGAAACGCCAATTATCGTCATTAGATCACGAACATTTCATAAGAGCACAGAACGTAAATGAAAAACTGACCAGTTGGGATGAAGCTGACGAATATCTTGTTGATCGACGGTGGTACGATGAAGAAGCAGAAGTAGGAGAAGATCAAGATGACTATGGCGCACCGCAAGAAGAAAGGAATGAAGAGTGTAAAGAGCTAGAGCGAGAAGACAAAAGTGGAACAGAGAAGACCAAAGAAAGAACAGGCAATGATAACGAGTACAAGCGATATAGCAATGATAGGAACATTTTCACGATCATGGACATCCCGAAAACTTACCGTCCAATTATAAGTGCATGTTTATATTATATCCATATTGGAAAAATTTCAAATTTCTTCCTTGTTGCGGAAGATGCAGAGTTCCGAAAATGCGCGCAAAGGTTTAGTATACCTCTGCATGCTATTACGGAGGTGTAACGTACATCAGAAAGAATGGAGTCTGTCGTAACTTGTAATCAATATTAACATTGGCGAATTGACAAGCTTGTTCGTCAAGCATAAATTTATTGAGAAATTCGCGTTTTTTTATTATTCTTGTCTAAAAATTATTGGAGACATTCTAATTTAGCTACAGTCAACCATGCCATATAATGTCTCAAGACTGGACTAGGAATGGATTTGAAAGTCAATGACTCCTCTTCACATACATTATTACGGATCCTTTTTATGAACTGGTAAATGTACAGTGGCCTGCCAAAATTTTACGACCACCCGTGCCGATCATCACATTTATTATGAGTAGAAGCGATTTTCTA